TTACAAAGGAACAATGGTATTGTCCTCTCCTGAAATTTCACCTGCTCCATCCCTTGAACGGTCACAAACTACCCTGTGAGATTGCTCAATGCTGGCTGACATCGATTGTTTCTGCCTCAATTTAAAGCACCCGTGTTTTTGTGGAAGGTGCTTTGGAATCCATGACATTCCTGAACATAACAATGAGTATGAGCAGGCAAGGATGCTCCGAAAGAAAGGATGGGGTCACTGAAGCTATGTTTTAAAAAAAAAGGAAAGAAAAGAAAACCTCAGGCATTTTAATATGTTAAATACACACCCAATTAGTAATTCTAAAGACTTCTACAAATCAACCTAGATGAAACTTTTTTCACCTTTTTCCTGCCATTTTCCCCCTTCTCAGAAACATTTAGACCTACCCTATGGCAATGAGTATTGGGAAGTCTCTGCCCTGTATATCAGGGTAGCACAAATAATTCAGCATAAAGCAGCCGGGTTCCTGTAGCCTGGCATTAGGATAAGTATATCTTAAGAAAGTTCTTATGCAGACTTGGCTTCAGGCAATAAAACGTCATAGCCGTATAACTGTAGCAAGCAAAATTTCTAGGGAGCAAATTAGGCTGAAAACATCTTCTAGAGACAGCTAGAAAGGAATCGTACACCACCCCAAAATAAGGCAAGTTATGCAGTAAATGTTTCATTTATTGGCCTTCTTCCATTACTATTAGGGTTAAAAGACATCTTATCAATAAGAAAGGGATATTTATGGAGGATTGATGTCTTTCGAAAGGCTGCTCCTGTCACAAATGCCTATCGCGGTAGTGATCAGCTTATGAAGGCAGGTGATGAAATCCAGTACAAATGCATACATCTCCCCATTAACCCTTAGATCATCAGGCATTATTGTCACTTTATTACCCAGACCTGTCATTAGCTGAAGCAAGGTGATCCAGCCAGGCACTTGAGGAAAAAAAAACCCTGTTCCTCAGGGTTTCCAGAAGATGCTGTGTGCCTTTCCACATCTTTTGACAGAGTCAATGGGGGAAAATAAAAGGATGCCTGTGAAGTGGGGCCCTTTTTGCCTACCCCTTCCTCCCGCTAAAATTGAAAACTCTCAGGGGTCCAATTTTTAGTGTTCCTATGTTGGCTGAGGGAGTTGCTTTCCTGAAGGTCCAAATAAGGAACCATCACCCACGCAGAACAAAAAGCAAACAGAAAATTTCACAGTGGAATCAGGACTTTGGCTTCTAAACATTTCCCCATTTCATAGCTTCCTTATATTTTCAGATTCTTTTTTTGGCTTCCTTCAGTCAGCACACTCCCTGCATAGATAAGACCAACACAGTGGGTAACAGATCATCCATCTTGGAGCCCAGCTTTTTAAAGAAAAATCATACAGAACACATATACACACACGTACGCATCACTGTCAAGGGTAATTTAGCAGAATCTTGCCAAGCGATCGGGGGAGCCGAATATGGTTGTCAACATGTATTCCCTACTTCTGGTGAATCTGAGCAGACTATCCTTGTTTTCCCTAAGTTCCAAAGCCAAACCTCCAATATGGCTCGTCCCCTTTGCTGGTGTGCCGGTGAACTTCTTAGCATAACTGGGGTGTGGGCTGAATCTACGGAATCAAGGACTCTCTGAATGTTAAAAAAGACCTAAGAAAATATCAAGACCAATTACCTCACCTGCCAGGTGAGACAAGACTAAGGGGCCACAGGTGACGTGGGCTATGGCCGGCCTATTTCTGCTGTCCCCATCAAGCAACCTCCCATTTTCAGAGGGCACCTACCACTCTGCCATAAGTGCCCCATGGGGAATCGATGCCTGAAAGGTGATTTATATAAACTGACACTTCTGCTCACTCTTCAATAGGGATGAACAAGGAAGTACCCCTGGGAGAGGTAACCCACTCACTTAATTTTTAAGGTAAAATAAGTTGTACACTGATATCAACACAGGTCCGCAGAGATTTAATAGAGGGACGGCTGAAGGGGAGGAGAAAACAGAAGTGAAGAAGCAGAAGGGCAGAGGATGAGGAGGAGAGTTCGGGACCTGGGCTGGCCCCAGGAATGGGCTCCAAGGGAAGCAGATACAGCTTCTCCCCCATCCTGCCCACTTCCCAATATGCAAAACCCCTTGGCTCAGGCTAAAGTCAGGACTGGTCTGGCTTCCTCCCTTTGTTGTAGAGCCTCTGCTATTTGGGCAGAACTCTTGGTCATAAACCAGGAGTCATCAGTATCTAGAAAGAGAAGTAGCCTCAACACCTGGACACAAGCCAACTGTTGTTTAAAATTTCACACTAAATCTTCAAATTACACGTTCACATTGCGGACCAACCTGACTTTTTGTTGTTGTTTAATATTATAGTACCTTGTTTTTTGCCAATTTCAGTTTCACACCCTCCCCCCGGCCCCCACATCTTGGCATCACCTGAAGCCATTTCAGAGACTCAGGGGTTATTGACCCTCTGAGATCTTGCTGGGCTCCCCAAGCCTTTTTACTGCACAAAGCAGCAAAATTAAATGTGGCATGTTTGCAATCATGGAATAACTTTTAATTGCTTAATTAAATCAGAGATTTAAAGAAGGAAAGATTCAAGAGTTCCCTTTGAATGAGAAATATAAGGATACGCCAAAATGGATGAGGTTACTAATCATTAGGAAAAAAGCCCTTAGTATTTACATATGATAAAAATGCAGGCCAGGACATTAAAAACAATAAGTACACTCTCTAAAATTTCAATTCAGTCTATTTATGAGCTTTTATTATCCAGGTAGTCCTATAAAGGACAGAGAAGACCTCATTATCCAGCTTAATTCAGATCAGGGTTAGATTAAAAAAAACACCACCGCACAGGACAAAGAAATTGCCATAAAATTGAGTTACTATAAATGTGTTCCAGTTTAAGTAAATAAGCCCTTAAAACCGGCCTTAGGAAAGTGTACACTGTACACAGACAGTCTCAGGCACACTAAGTATACAGGTGACAATTAGCAAGTATGACAAGCTATGGGCATTCACTAAACGTGTAAATCTAAAGGCAACTGAGTGAAAAGATCCAAAAAAGGGAAAGTGTTAAATCCATTTGTACATGGATTTAACAGTGAAGCATTTCATTCTTCATGTTTTTACTTGGTGTCTTGAAATAATCCCCTTTCTGTCTCCACTCTCCCTCTTAGAAACTGTGCCTGCCTTATTTATTTATGAAGTCTGAAGGTTAGTTCTACCTGCTGAGACTAATTAGCCTTGTGCTTTGTATCCTATGCAATCCTGTCTGATTAAATGTACACATTTGTTTTACTTTTCAGACTCTTTCTCGCTCTACTTCTGATTTTCCGATTAATATTAAAGTTGGGAGTTACAGTGAATCTCCTCTGTGCTCCCCCCCCCATTTTTATTTTGCCTGTATCTTTCTCTTTAGTGTGCAAATGTGGTTGTGAATTTTTTCCAGTGCAGGGGAATTCACTGGCCTTGTCAATCTTGGTATCATTATTTTTAGTAGTCTTCTTTCTGAGACCTTAGCCTATAAAACAGTTTTGCTGAAACCCCAAACTCTCTAAATATTACATGGTAAATTTCCTTTCTTTTGGAAACCATAGGTGCTGATGGGCCAGCTGAAAGGCAGGTGAGATTTTTTTAGGCATGGGTGGGATAATTTAGTACATCATGGACTCAGGACCAACACTGTTCCTAATAGACAATTTGCTAATTTCTATTGATTTCTTTTTTCTGATTCTTTTTATCCACTTTTCATGTGGTAGTTTCCAGTCCACTTCTCATTGGATATTTGCAAGAAAATGAATGTTCTTGCTCCTTCATCCAGGGACATTGTGTTTTGGGAGCCAGGCCTTTTACCCTTTCACATAATTCTGTTCCCCATTTTGTAGCAAATCAACTTGCCCCCCAGGCGAGTGCCTAAAAATCAACAAAATACCTGCCTCACAGCCCAGGTTTTCCACCTACTCCTTGAGGTCTCCCAGCATCAGCTCGGTTAGCAATTTCCTGCCGGAGCCATCTACACCCTCATCATGTGGTCAGTCTTTCGGGGATTTCATCTCAGACCCCCTTCGAGAAAGACTCCAGCACCGCTGATCCCAGGGGTTGGTGAACTTTCAGTTTTATTTTCCCTGGCGGTGTTAACGCCCAAACTTTTTACCTCCAAAGTCTGAAAGGACTTTGAATCCTAGCTCATTTCCTACCACCTCCAACGTTAGTAAAAAAAAAAACAAAACAACACTCTACATTGAAAGAAATCATGTATTTTTCCTTAAGGATATTTTTAATGCCTTTGACAAACATGACAGTATTTGATTGTTTTTGGATAAAAGTCATCTTGGCATATTTAGTCTAGTGAGATTGAAGATTTAATGAAATGATTCACTATTAATAAATAAGAAGGGGAGGGAAGATCTCGTGGGTTAATAGTTTCTTTCACTGCAGATGACCAGGAACTTTGCCCAGCCCTCCACTTCCCCAAGCTCTCTGAAAGTGGAGGGTTGCTCTTTCTTCTTGACCACTTCTGTTCCATCCCGCCCAAGGGTGGCTGATTTCACTGCTGGATTAACCACTAAGCATCCCCCGCCCCTACTCTCCTTTTCCCCTTCCTTAAGACTTATTTCTAATATTTCCAAAGTGCACTTTTTCTGGGCCTCTCCCCATCCCCGCCCCCCAAGTGGGCTTTCCTTCCGCCTTCCCCGGCTCGGATTCCTGCCTCGGTCGCCACCCCTTCCCCTCCTCTCCCACTCCGCATTGTCTTTCTGAAGCCGCCCCCTCCCGGAGCGAGTCCCGGTCCCCTCGCCCCGACTCCCGGGCTCGCACACACTCAGCGCAGGCCTCTCCCCCTGCACTCTCCTCCCTCCGTCTCTCTCCCCCCTCGTCCCCCCGCGTCCCCCCGCCCCTGTCCTCCTCCTCCTCCTCTCCCTCCTCCCTCTCCCGGCGCCCGAAAGGATCATTGTTAGCCGCCCCCGCCCCGCCCACCCCGGCTGTTTATTATGCGCACGTCACCGGGACGGCCCCGCCCCCCGGCATCTCATTAAGCGAGTGTGTTCCTCTCGCCCTGTCAATAATCTCCGCTCCCAGACTACTCCGTTCCTCCGGATTTCGATCCCCCTTTTTCTATCTGTCAATCAGCGCCGCCTTTGAACTGAAAAGCTCTCAGTCTAACTTCAACTCACTCAAATCCGAGCGGCACGAGCTCCTCCTGTATCTTCGGCTTCCCCCCCCTTTGCTCTTTATATCTGACTTCTTGTTGTTGTTGGTGTGTTTTTTTTACCCCCCTTTTTTATTTATTATTTTTTTGCACATTGATCGGATCCTTGGGAACGAGAGAAAAAAGAAACCCAAACTCACGCGTGCAGAAGATCTCCCCCCCCTTCCCCTCCCCTCCTCCCTCTTTCCCCTCCCCAGGAGAAAAAGACCCCAAAGCAGAAAAAAAAGTTCACCTTGGACTCGTCTTTTTCTTGCAATAATTTTTTCCGGGGGGGGCAAAACTTTTTGGGGGTATTTTTTTTTTTTTTTGGCTTTTCTTCCTCCTTCATTTTTCTTCCAAAATTGCTGCTGGTGGGTGAAAAAAATGCCGCAGCTGAACGGCGGTGGAGGAGATGACCTAGGCGCCAACGACGAACTGATTTCCTTCAAAGACGAGGGCGAGCAGGAGGAGAAGAGCTCCGAAAACTCCTCGGCAGAGAGGGATTTAGCTGATGTCAAATCGTCTCTAGTCAATGAATCAGAAACGAATCAAAACAGCTCCTCCGATTCCGAGGTAGGAAAAGCCCCTCGGGCTGGTGGGGTTTTTAATCTATTTCCTGGGCTTGGCAAATGTTGCTTCGAGGACAGAAATCGGGGCCGGGGGCGGCGGCGGGGCGCCGCGGGGTCGGGCGGGCGGCGTGTGCGTGCGGTGCCACCATTGCAAAAACTTGTAACCCTGTTTTTCTCTCCCCCCCCAAATCCCCCCACCCCGCTGATTTCTTTTTCTCCCCCTTCTTCCCCCTCTGCGTGGCGTTTGCCCCTCGCCCTCCCCACCTCCACCCCTCCGGGAAGGCGGAAAGACGGCCTCCGCCTCGCTCCGAAAGTTTCCGAGATAAATCCCGGGAAAGTTTGGAAGAAGGTGAGTACGCCCCGCGCGCCCCGCAGCCGCCCGGAGC